CCACAAGTACTCCTGTTCTTTTTTGCGGCTATGCCTTGTTCACTCTTATGCATAAGGCCATACAAAGACAATTCTGCTAGGAAACATTTTTCTGTTTCTATGCACAGATAAAAGTAATTGGAAAATACGGAGTGGGCCAAATGTTGATCTTTGCCATGCTGGGGAATGAGGGAGACAAGAGCATGCAGGGAGCCTCTCCCGCACCTGAGCGACCAGTAGGAAAGGACGTCTGCAGCATGTTCAAGAAGAAAACACTTATACACACCATAGGCCTGATCCTGCCAGGGGCTGAGCACCCTCCATTCCCATGCATAGGGCTAGGCCCCATGTCCCAAGGGATATAGTCTGTGTATTTCATACTGGGGAGTACACTTTGCTCCTCATTAGAGGAAGAGCACAGCGCTCCCCTGCTGCTGAGTATGTACACGGCTGTGAGCAGCAATTGCCAGAAGCGGGAGTATTGCACTGCTCCTACTGCACTGCGTAGCACCTGGACCCACCTCACCATGAGGTGCCCTGGCCCTGGCTGGCTGGAGTCCTTTTGCAGAGGTCTTACCAGAGAACGTCTCCCATAGTCCTCCTTGTGAAAGACGGGGCAGGTTTTCGTCCCCCTGACACAGTATTGTTTGCACTGAAGAGTACTGAATTCTTATTTTAGTCTCCCCAGCATTTATTTTGCACAAGTTAATTTTATTCAGTCACCTTTGTAGACGCCCTTTTTATGACTCATGCTCTAGTTACCGTAAAGACCGAATTTCAATCTCCAAACAGCTAAGACAGTCGCACTTCTCTGGGACAGTGCAGATCACATAGCTCAGGACAAAACACGTGAGAGCTGGGGTCAGAGCTTTCTCTTTTGAGGGGATCCAGGTATGGAACAAACTTCCAGAGGACATCAGGGGAAACCAGAGTCTGACCGTCTTGAGGAAACGCTGCAAAGTCTTCCTCTCTGAAAAGGCCTTTCCCCCATAGCAAGAATGACACTCACACGCAATCTATTGTACTTCTAGACAGTAGCGTAGCTAGTGGGGTGCAGGGGAAGCAGCCGCTTCCCCTCAACACGTTTTCAAAAAGTGGCGCGCCTGCCGGCCGGCGCTAAACTCCTCCAGGCAAGGGGGGGCAGCACGGCCGGAGGAGCCATGGGGATGGAGCAGCACGACTGGAGGAGCGAGGGGGGGCGCAGCAGGGCGGCCCGCAGCTGCGGCTGGAGGAGCTAGGGGTGGCGCAGCAGGGTGGCCAGCAGCCAATGGGGGGGCGGTACAACCGGAGGAGCCAGCCAAGGGGGGGGGCGCGGAGTGGCCGGAGGAGGAGCCATGGGGGGCATGGCCAGAAGAGGAGCCAAGGGGGGGCGCCTTTTTTATGTTTGCTCCCCCTGCTCTTAGATCCTGGCTACGCCACTGCTTCTAGAGCCCCCAGGACATAGTGTCACAATCCTCTTCGTCATACAATGAATCAGAGCTTGGAACAGAACCCATATGTCCTTGCTGCTAGTCTCAGGTTCTAAAGAGATGACTAGGAAACAAAGTCTGTATAGGGCAGACAGAAAAAGGTGCAAGGTAGAAGCAATATTGCATGCGGAGGGAATCACACTGTAGATAGGCAAAAGCCTGGGTTAAATATTAACCATATTGGGCCTGGTTAGTCTAAAGCGCAAGGATACAATCCCTTTAATCAGATGGCCACACCATAAAAGATATGGATAAAACAGCAAGAATATGCTATATGTTAAACAGTCTTTGGCACATACAAAAACCTGTCAACATTTTCTGCTAAGCACTTTCCTGTTCAGAAAGACTGAATCTGCCCCTTACTTAACCCAAACGTTACAAACCCTACAGCTTTGTATTGTACAACAGCATCAGCAGGGATTATTTGGCTTCTGCCATGGTGAATAACAATCTAGAAGAAGACAATGTATCAAATAGGAACACTTAGATGATAATAAATGATAAATAATAAAGTACACTCCTTGGGGCAGGGACCTGGTCTTCAGGAGTGTCACTAAAGTGCCATGGTGTTTGTTTCATTAAGATATAATAGTAGTCATTAATAACAAAAAGAAAGCAGCCAGTTACAGTTTGTAACACAGAGGAAACAAAATAATAAAACAGATAATAAACATAAAATCAATGAGGAGTGGACAAATAACAAGGTGTCCTCTGCTGCTATCCCGTCCATACAAAGCACTGGCAAAAACAGTTATAATAAAACTGTCACAATGAAGACATTTTGGAAATACAATATATAAACTGTATTATGGGACTAGCTTTCCAATGGAGGCCCTTATTAGGTATCCGAACCCTGCATTCAGACACACATAGTGGGCTTTATTCCATACCCACTGAAGTCAGTCGTGTAGGATCAGGCCTACTGACCCCCAGGCATGGAAAATATGCCTTTATGTATCTCTGTGCCAATTTGAATATCCAAATGCGCGGCTTAGATGTCCATTTAAGGTGCTCGTGTCTGAGAACTGGGCTCACCTCAAATAACCAAGCCCTGTGGATAAATGATTACACAAGAGCATTACGTATATTTTTGTCAAACCTCAAACTACGTGGATAAAAGACTTAAAAATGGGCTTCATTTTTCAGCTGGTTTTCCTTGATTTTATGTATTGTTTCTAAAAGAACTTTGCTGATCAAGATCATGAGCAGTAACTCCCATTCAGGACTCCTTTTTTATATTTAGATACAAAAATTGCTGGTCAGAATGGATCTTTAGACTGATTTCTTTATTTTTAAATGGCAGAGATATTATTTAACATGAATACATGCTCCCTCCACCGCCACCCCTACCCAAGCTGAACCTGTTTGGCCTTGCAATTGCGTTATTGTGCAAGTGTAATTCAGTGGAAAAGAGACTGGATTAAACAAGCAGCTCTGGAGGAGTAAATAAAAGGAACATGCTTTAAAGAGTAAATAGACATGTTTGGATATAATAGAATAACTCCTGGCAGTGCTTAAACAGAGCGATAAAATAATGCCCTTTCTTAAATCTGAATGTAGATTTTTGTCTTACTTAAAAACAACAACAACCACCCCACAACCTTGCCAATGGTTGGCCCTGCTTCGCTAAGGGTGTCTCCAAATGCAAATGTTATGGCTGAAAACAAAAAGAGGAAAGGATGAAAAGACAAGGCACTGAAAAGATGACAGTAACTGAGACGTGTGCTGTGGGGACAGCGGCTGTTTGTTGTACAATCTGCTCCATGTGTGAATCGACTCTGAAAAATGACTGTAAAAGTCAGGCTACGAGGGTTCCACCGTTATTGACTCGTCAATTCTAGATCAAAGCCCTAAGGTTGCTCTAACTTGCTCTGGGGGCTGATTTGGCCACTGGCAACCCCCAGGATCAGGGGTGGACAGATGACACACCACCTAACCCCCTCATCTTCACCCCTTTTCCCTGGTGTGCTGAGTACAGATGGGGAGCTGGCCCTGAGAGTCAAGCTAGGTTCTTTCTCATGCACCATTATCAGAACTAAATACAGTTTTTGTAAATTTAGGGTCTGATTCTGATCTTATTCACACTTGCGTATATCAGAAGTAATTCCACAGAGTCAACAGTTACACCAGTGTAAAACTGGTGTGAAATCAGAAGTAAGCACCAGAGTCTATCCTCCTGTCCTCCTGTGCAGCCCCATTGTCTCACGAGGCGTAATTGGTTGGCTCTGTAAATTGAATGTAGTTAACAATTCTGTTGATGGATGGAGCGCAAGCTGGAACAGAATCCAGCTCACTCTCTTAGCTATGTTGGCCTGGAGCGCTAACAAGAGTAAAAGACCTTAAAATTATTCTATAATTACTCTTGTCAATTAATCTTGTCTAATTACTCTCGTCAATTAAGACAGCAAATATGATTCTGATTACACACAGAGAGCAGATCTCTGCTAAATCAGAAGGTGGCATTTTTACAGTCCCTTTTCAAAGCAGCAATAAACTGCGCAATAGTCAGAAAAGGCACTGTAAAAATGACATGGACATGGTGATGCTCATTTTTCATTGGTTTCCAGAGCAGATTTGCTCAGTTTACAAGGTGGGAGAGGATTTTTCTGATGACCAGGACAGGAAACCTGGGATCTGAAAACCAAGCTATCTTCATTCTTCCTCCTCTATCCACGGTAATTAAAATTCTAGTGTAGAATTTAGCTGAAGGTTTTGATGATGCATAAAAAACTCCAGTTGCACTCCCATAGCTGTATTGGCTTTGTTGTGCTGAAAAGGGTAAAAGCGATTATTTGTGGTGGTAAACAGACACACAAGGATTACACTATATGTATTAAGTATGGGTGCTTTTTACATTGTAACTTTCCTGACTAAACCCACATATTTTAGACATCTTTTCCATAAGATGTTTTGCAAATATGAAAAGGACGAGAACAGATGAAATAACTTTGGCCCATGGTCTGACTCATTAACAGGGCCGTTCCCAGGGCCGGTGCAAGGAAGTTTCACGCCCTAGGCGAAACTTCCACCTGGTGGGCCCACCCCAGCCCTGCGGCAGCTCCCCGCCCCCCCACTGCCCTGAGGCGTCCTCCCCCGCAGCAGCTCCCCCCACCCACCCTGAGGCCCCCCCCCCCCGCGGAAGCTCCCCCCCCGGGAGCCGTGCGGCAACTCCTCACCCAAGCTCACCTCTGCTCCGCCTCCTCCCTGAGCACGCCGCCTCCACTCTAATTCTCCTCCCCTCCCAGGCTTGCGGCGCCAATCAGCTGTTTGGCGCC